ACGGGGATGTATGGCGGCAAATTTTGAAAGATTGCTCGATGGTAAAAGCATAAAGAAAGTTCCCTAATAAAAAAAAGTATCATTTTGGGGTCTTTATGGTCGAAAATGGATGCAAATGGAGTGATGAAAGTAAAACGGAAAATATCTAATAAATTCGTTAAAGTTATGTTTTTATGTATGCAAATGTCATGATGAAAAATGGATTGAAAGAAAATAATGTCGTTGTTATTCACCGGGATGAATGGTCACAAAATTTATTTAGCATAAAAATGGAGGAGCTTATCAAAAGTTAAGTCCTCTCTAAAAAAATTGGCATAACTATAAATATTAAATTTAGCCCAAATTTTACTAGGATTTATATATTGCATTCGAAAACATAGTTAATAAAATATGGTACACAAGATATTTACTATATTTACTATGTTTGAAATGGTATCTAACTTAAAAATGGGCCCACATTTAGATAGATTGATAAGTGGTATATTTTGCTGATGAAAAAGAAAAAGGTTGGAAATTGTAACTAACATTTTTTACAGTAAAATCAACTTTTATTTCACTTCAAACTCGAAAAAAGCGCGATTACACTTATCAAAGGAACTTAGAAATTAGGTCAAGAATACTTATCCAGTTTACAGTCTAACAAGAGATCATACAACCCAATCAGCTCTAACATTGAAAAGACGTGGAACTGCTTTGACCTTCACTTGAGGGTTCGCTCTCAGGATTGATAACATTGATCCAATCCAGGCTGCACCTCTCCAAGGCCAACTTCTCGAATCATTAGAAAGAGCATTGACTAGTATTTGGCTCTCTGACTGGACAACACATTCAGAGCCATATTCTTGGGCTAATTTGAGACCTTCCAAAAGAGCTTTTGCTTCTACTTCGAGTGGGATGGAACAAAGAAGAGTGTCAGCTCGCCCATCACAAACTTAGAGTGTAGCTAACATTAAAATGGGCCCAAATTTAGATTTGCTGGTGAATGTCCTTAGGCCTTTCTCCATTTTTCCTTCATGTCACTTCACCGCAGAAACCTTAGGGGTCGTTTGCTTCATGGATTTAAAAATGAGGGTTTTGTGTTTTAAAAACTCAAGGATTTATCAATGATTTGAAACATTATGGATTTGAAACAATCCTTTGTTTGTTGAGATGTTTTGATCATGGATTTAAGGGTTTCAGATTTAGAACTTAAAGTCCAAAATTACCTCACTATCCTTTTCTATTTGTTTGTCATATACTCATATTTATGATATGTAATCAAACAAGAACAATATTTACTAAAAAGCATAATGTTGTTACAAGGATAATAATAATAAACAAGGAAATTATGTTTAACTTTAACGTAACATATATTAGTTACCAATTCTCCGTCTTCCATTTCAAAAGTAACATATGACAACATATATTAAAATCGGGAGAAAAAATTTCACGTTCCATGAAAATGTCAAAGGAAACTACAACACAAGAAATGAGATAGAATATCTAACTCATGTTTGCACATTAATTGAATATTTATATTATTGTTTTGTTGTTAATTAATTGATTAATTATAATGTACATTAGCTAAATGTGAGGGCAATCTTGGAATTTTAAAATTTCATGAGGGTATATATGTAAAATCCTAAGATGGTTTGTGGCATCTTACAAATCCCACATTAATATTAGCGATTTACTGTCCGTGGGGTCTACGGATTTGGTCCCTAAAATAATTGTACACAAACGATGAATTTCTCTTAAATCCATGATAGATGAGATTTGGGTACCAAATCCATCATACAAATCCACGAAGCAAACAACCAATGTGGTAGAAAGTGTTCATTCGTATTATTAGTGATTATGTAAAAAAAAATAGGTATTATTATTAGCGGAATAAAAATATATCAAAATACTATTAGCAGATAAGCTGATGAAGCCTAGATCGGCCGAATGTTTATATTACAAAAAACTGAACAAGAAATAGCTCGCTAGATAGCTGCTCATCGGCGGCAGAAGGTCCAGTTCATGAAGAATTGACCAACCAGAAGTGGTTCTGGGTTTGGATTGATAAGGGGTGAGTAAAATCTCCAGGGAATACCGACGCCGAAGAATCATTGTCGATGCAATAGCGTCTCTTTGGGAGTGGAGAAAGTAAACAAGAAAGGAGAGGCAAGGAAGTCGGCGACGGCGATGAAGATTCGGAAAAAGGACGCCCCGCTATAAGAAGAAAAAGGCCCAGTGGGCTGCGAAAGTCCAAAAGAACCAGACAATATGTTTTCAGCGTGTGGGCTTTGATGCCTGACCCAGCTGGTCGAGAGTGGCCCAAAAAGCTGTTATGGCCTCGTGGATTGCGAACGCAATTAGGAAATTGTTAACTACAAATATCACAAACAGTTTTGAAGATTTTATTTGTAAAGGTCTTGTAATTTATGTATCTGTTTGTTCCTTTTCAAAATATTTGTGACAAAAAAAAACCATTGAAGATTTGAAGTAATGATACATTTGTATAAATTGCGGCCTAAGCCTACAGAAGCTATACAATGTCCGACCGATGCAGAGGTTAGATTATCACTCAAGTACAATATAATGCTATTAGCTAATCACCGCCTGCAAGATCGAGTTCATGAAGAATTGGACAAGTAGTAATCACTCGCGGGAATACTGACGAATCGGAGCCTTCATACCGGTAGCTTCTACTTGTGGAGTGGCCAACAAGAAAGAAGGAAGAGGCAAGGAAGCCGGAGCAGGGGAAGGCACGAAGAAGGATGCCCCGCTATAGTAATACAACTTCTTCTCCTTCTCCTCGTCCAGAATCCGCTGTTGCTTCGCGTTGTTGGTCGTGGTCCTCTGTTTCTTGTTGTGATCAACATAGCTCTTTCCGCTTGATTTCCGACTATACCCGCGCCGGACGCTTTGATCGGAAGGGGAAATTGAGGCGGTAGTAGCGGTGGAGAGACTTGTGCTACAAGGAAGCTGCTGTTGAAGTATTGGGACTAGGCGTCTTGATGGTGGCGGGGTGGGGAGAAGGCCGCCGGAGGTGGCAGGGTTGAAGACGATGACCGCCATTTTTGACTGACGAAATGGAGAAAGCAGAAGAACTCGAAGAATGGAAATCTTTGAGAGCACTGAGTGAGGAGGTAAGTGATTTGGGGGAACTGAGTGGCGCTCTTTGTTTTTTTGTAGACGCTTTCCTCCGTGCCTTGTAGCTTACGTGACTCTGTTTTCCGTTTCACGTTCGGGTTTGGATTTCCTTTTTGTACTGGGATTCGGACAAATGAAACATGGACAATTTAGAGCCCGTGTTGAAGCGGAAAACGGACCAATGGGCAAACTGGATTAGGCCCAGCCCAATCATCGCTTAGATGACTCTTAACCATTCCACCTTGAAATAATCAAGCCAAGTAATATCATGGGAACGGATCAGGTCAGTAACTTTATTGTGAGTAACTATGAGTAACCCGCCCACATCACAATGACATCAGCATCCTCTCTCTCCTGGAAAACCTTTAATTTTCCCCTGCTTAATCTTTAACGGACGATTTCTCACTCGTTTTAAGTCGAAATTTAATTTTTTTGCACAGTTAAATCAGATTAATTGTGCTCTTCAAAATGATATCCATTTTGATATATTTTTCGAACAAAAAAATTGAGCAATTTTTTACCAGTCTATACCATATGGTATTGACTGGTATTGAAATAAGAGCATACCTATGGTTTGAAAAGCGTACCATGGTGGTATGCCACAAACCAAAACTGTAGGATGGTTGAATACATGATAGTAGAAGTATATTAATTGTCATTTACGACTTTTAACATTGTATACCATAAGATACCACCCCGTACCAGGATGGTATTGTATGGTATTGTGTGGTATTTTTTGGTCTTGTAATTTGTTCACCCAGAAATTTGTAGATCCAATAGATCATGATGAACTCGTCCCTGCTGTGCAAACGTTTGCAAAAACAAATTAAAAACGAAGAAGATACCATATGGTATGCAGTTGGTACCGAGAGACCAGATTTTTTTTCTCAAAAAATATTGAAAATTGATCTCATTTTGTAGAGCACGATGAACTCGTTCCATCTGTGCAAAAAAAATTAAAATCCGAGTTAAAACGAAAAAGATATGAGTCAATTAAGAAAGCTAGTGAAAATAAAAATGGTCTTTAATTCTCCATCCTTAGATCTGGATTTTCTAAATAAAGGGTTTAGATTTGGTTATTAATAGGTGCATAACTCATGGTTATGCACCCTAACTTGAGCCCTAACCATGTCACTTTCTATGGCTAGAGACTTGCAGATGAGATTAGGTATTTAGGTGAGGATAATGTTTTTCTGTTTTTAGTCACGAGATTAACAATAAGCACGTCATGTCTCTCCAACGACTGGTATAATCAATAATGTACATTGAGAAAAAAAATAGATTTGAAAAATACGAGGCAAACCGAAATATGATGAAAAACCACCAAATACACCAACCACCAACCAAGTAAAGAAAAAGAGAAGCAAACCGAAATATATTTCACTACAACTCGACAAGATTATATCCAACTGATGAACAGACACAAACGAATACAGACCCTTTTCTTCAAACATAAATGAACTGAACTGAACCGAAACAAACTAATTGCTGCAGATTACAGCACAAACCTTAAGACCGATTAGCCTTCTACTTGTTACTTTGTTACTACCCAATCTACACCCAACTATACCTCCCTTACCACTAGTAATAAACCAACTATCGAGCTTGACAGGATTCATCTTACTATACAACAGACCGTGAAGAGATAGATCACCGTAACCCAATTCACCAAGCTCCCGCCTGCTAATGCTGCTGCTGCTGCCTAACTTCGAGTCTAAACCAAACCCCCGATTTCATCCCCTTGAAAAAATAAGGGAAAATCGGCCGAACAAAGAAGAAACCCAAAAGAAAGGAAAAGAAAGGAGAAGAAAACAAGTAAGGAACAAGATGGACAAATTACAAGACTACCCTCCACAGATCTGGGATCCTCATCTCCCTCACGACTACAAGGCGAGGTTCAGAAGCCTGCGCAGATCGCTGGTCGCTTCACTATCTACACCTACTCCAACGACGGCGCTCTTCTTCAGGAAGACGGGAAGAGGGAGAGAGCTAGGAGGCGGCGAAGTGAAGAATCCAGATCCCGCGTAGAATCCAGCTACGGATCTGTTCACTGTAGGTGATGCTACGACTCGGATCGCCGGCTTTTTTGGAGTCACCGGTGGAGAAACCACCAGATCCAGCTTCAATTCAACCTTGACCGCGGCTGAGGCAGAACGGACGGCTGGAGAGTTCTCCTTGTTGTTCTGGATCGGTTCTCCTCGCTTAAGGATCTTGACCTCGCCCATGGCTAGCACCTTGGCCGCGGAGGGTTGAGGAGAGAGGAACGATTCAGGTGTGGGACGTGGAGGGGGAGAGGTGTTGGGGCTCTGCTTCCTGCGATTGTCGGATTTACCGCGCCCGTGCTTGAAAGAGCTGGCGGTGGGGGTATTGGTAGGATTGCAGCGGATTTTGGTGCGTGGAGTCATGGAGTGGAGGCCGCCGCGGTTGGTGAAGGTGTCGCGGAGGCAGTCCTGGGGGCTGAGAACGGCTGTTGCCATAGCGGTGGTCGGAGTAGTCTAGGAGATGGGGAAAGAAAGAAGGCTCATGATTTGATCTGGGAAGGGAAAGGAGGGTAGAGAGAGGGGAGCGGCGATTGCCTTGTTTCTTTCTTGGAGCGGGTGTGGGAATATAGAAGAGAATACAGGAAGACATGTGAGTTTTATAATAAGAGGAAGAGGAAGAGGAAGGTAAAGGGAAATGAGAAAGCTAGGGTTAACTTCCTATCTCTTTCTCTCTCCTCGCCACGCGTAACCGCCATTCTTGATTCTTATAAAAAAAAACCCTCGTATTTTTGTTTCTTATTTATTTATATTTGTAAGACACCCACCAACCGGTATTTTTCATATTAAATTTTGTCGATTAAATTTTTCGCATTGTATGGCAGTCATTATCGTTTCATTAAACAATTTATATGGGTAATTATATCGTAAAATAGTTGGTATTAATATTTCGGGTTCTATCCAAGCGAGACTCATTTGATGTTTTCGGAGCTATACGGATGTTAGGGGCAAAGTCTCGTTGGAATCGAATTGATTGCAGTTGACCCCGAGATTTAGTAGGCCCCGCTGTTACAAAGTGTCACATGAAGCTGAGGTTTCTGAGTAATAAAAAAAGGATTACGAGTTTGAGATCGATATATATCAAAATGCCGATCAATACTGAAATATAAGCTCTATTACGACAAATTTAAGGGGTTTGCAATTCCCGTAACACACGAAGGGAGAATTGCGAAACACACCCAGCGGCCGACCACCTTTCGTCTTCCTCCTTCGACCAGGGTGACGACTAGTGACCGACGACCATCACACTCAGGTCGTCGCTTCTTCCCGTCGGGCACTGTCTGCTGCTTCACGGCTGGTCGTCTTCCCCCCTCTACCAGCGAGGACCAGCGACCAATGTGCACCGACAACCACTCCACCAGGTCGACGACCAACTTCTTCACGTCTGGCCGGCGTTGTTTGCGGGTAATAGCAACATTGATTGTTGTTGCTGCTTCACTAGGGTACGATTCTCTTCACCATAATCCCCTTATTTAAACCCCAACTTAGATGAATACGAAAAAAATAGGAATTGAATATTGGTTCTTTTCAGGACCACTTACACAATGTAGATGGATGGTGGAATTAATAATGAAGGTTCTACATCGGCTGTTAACATACACCATGTTGAACAGGTATGATTTTTATGCTTTCAATCATGTTTGGCCAGGTGGGATTTGTTGGCAACATTCTGAACGAGGCAGCAATTGAGGTTGATGAAGAAGAGAATGGAGACTCCGACGACGAGTTTGAGCTGAACGCAGATTGGTTCTCGGATGAAGATATTGCAAATAGGGAAGAGATAATATCGAGGGTGAAAAAGGCAAAAGAGAAACTGAAGATCGGAATTCCTGTTATTTATAACTCCGATGATGAGGTTGATAGAAGACATGACCAAGTGGATGGACAAGAGGGTTTCAGCTCTAGTGATGATGGGAGTTATGATGGAACCGATGAGGAGGATGAAGTTGTTGATCATGCAATACGCAGAAGAAGCCGTCTTCCACAATTTTATCCAAATTTGGAAACACCATTCTTTGAGCTTGGCATGATTTTCACTAGCATGCCTCAGGCAAATGAGGTTGTTCGAAAGTATGCTTTGGCTGCCAGAAAGGTGTGTTGGTGAAGAAAAGTGATCCATCGAGGCTAAGGGTGATTTGCAGGTACAAGGGATGCCCTTTTGCATTGTTCGTTTCATGCTGTAAATGGGCTGAAGCATTTTGCATCAAAACACTGGAGGTGCACAGATGCGGACTTCATTTCAAGAACAAATACTGCAGTCCAGCTGTGATTGCAAAGAAGTAAGCTATGATTGCAAAGAAGTATCATATGAGGATAAGAGCACATCCACAGTGGAAGCTCAAGGACATGAGAGAGACGATTAAAGAAGAGATGGGATATGATGTGCATAGGATGACATGCACGTGCAAAGAAGATAGTGATGCACTTGACCGAATGATGCTATAAGGACGAGTACGCACTAGTGTGGACTTATGCAGAAGAACTTAAGAGAGCTAACTCGGACACAACTGTCCGTATCATGGTGAACCGAGACAATCCGGAGGGGCTGCCCAAGTTTCAGCGTATGTATATCTGTTTCGGTGCCATGGAAAAAGGTTATAAAGCTGGATGTAGGAAGATTGTCGCTTTGGAGGGTTGCTTTCTTAAGGGTTTTTGCAAAGGATAGCTACGTGCTGTAGTTGAGAGGGATGCAAATGATCAAATGTACACCATTGCATGGGAAGTGGTTGAAGTTGAGTCTAGAAGTTCATGGGATGATTTAGACATTGATGAAGGTGCTGGTTGGTCCTTCAGTTTAGACCAAATGAAGGTATAATGGTGATTTCTTTATTGCTAACAGTTGGTTTTTGTTAGTAAAGTGTCCACGGCTTATTAACACCAAATTGCATGTTTATAGGGACTAGTACCTGCAATAGCCGAACTCTTCCCACACGCAGAGCATTGCCTATGTGCACGACATATATACAACAATTGAAGAAATAAATTCAGGAACCGAGCATGGCAAAAGTTGTTCTGGGCGTAACCAAGGCGACGACACCAATATTCTTTGATCGAGCCTTACAGAGGGTGGCAGCAGAGAACAAGGAAGATGCCAATACATTGCTATTAATTGACCCAAGACACTGGTGTCGCAGCTACTTCTCAACGGAGGTTAAGTGTGATTCGGTTGACAATAACATGTTTGAGTCTTTCAATGCCTCCATCTTAGAAGCTAGATTTAAAGCCATATACAACATGCTAGATGAACTCTGTGTTATGGTTGTAGAGATGGTCGTGACAAAGATGCCCTTGGGAGAAAAGTGGGAGGGTCTGTATTTCCCAAAGATCATGCAAAAGTTCAATGCGCATTCTGCAGAAGCTGATTTTTGTCATATATTATCAAATGGCCAGCATGGGTACGAGGTGAGGCGTAAGGAGGACAGATTCACAGTGTAGCTTCTGCAACATACTTGTTCTTGTAGAACTTGGCAATTGCCAGGGATTCCGTGCCCTCATGCTATTGCATGCTTGGTCTATGAAGATAAAGACCCTGTCATGTACATTTCTGATTGCTTCTCGACTGAAAACTTCTGGAATACATACAAGCATGTGTTACATCCAATGGATGGTCCAAAATCATGGGTCTGAAGCGAGTATGAGCCCATACTCCCTCCAGATTTTAGAGTTATGCCTGGGAGACCAAAGAAAAAGAGAGTGAGAAGCGTTGAAGAAAATGAGGATCGACAAAGACAACAGAAGAAAAAGGCTTACACTTCTCAAGAGTTGATGGCACCCAACAAGAACGATCCTTCAAAACTAGGTAAGACCGGGAGATTGATGATATGCAAGAGGTGTAAAACCGAGGGACACAACTCTCGCACTTGCAAAGCTGAGATTCCCACAGAGGTTATTACTCCACCTTCTATTTCCTTTATAAAATTAGATTGTTTGCAGATTGTATATAATTGAATTCTTCCTGTTAGGGTAATATTAGGGGAGCCAGTAACTCAAATCAATCGCAAACATGTGCTGGAACATCTGCAACTGGGTAGGTGAGACATTTATGATTCTACTAGGGTGATTTAAATGATGCATGATCAGCAACTTACAAAAAAATTTCATTACAGGGAAGAATACCAACTAAGAAGAAGAAAAGCCCTTTTGTAGGGGTGGGTGTGCATCACGCTAAAAATGGTTTCATGGTGCTTGATGTATTTACTACACATGCCGTCTATACATGAGTGTTTTATTCTTTTGATTCTTCCTTATGATTTTCATTATCATATACAGCCGGGGCTGAGAACTAGAAGGGTGATTGAAGTTCCTCAGAAGCCAAGAAGCATACATGGAGGACATGGAAGTGGTGAAGGTACAAGGCCACAAAAGAATGATCGTGACGCAGGAGTGAGTTCAAGGCAAGATGGACGAGCTGGTTGCGGCACTCAAGAGAGCACGACTACTTTTCGTTAGATTTAATACTTGATGTAGTAGTCGATAGTTAGTAGTGCATCTTGAACCTAGATTTTGATATTATGTGTAGTGAAGGCAACATACATGAACTTTAATCTGCCTATTTTGGTATTATGAGTAGTGAAGGCAGCAGACATGAACCTAGATTTTGCCTCCAAATGACACATCGCAATGATGGATTAGTGTCTTTTGTACTCCATATGACAAAAGACTCGAGGGCCGTGGCTCGTGGGTCGGGTCATCAACAGTCTCATTCATCGACGAGAGATGTATTTCTTTTAGAAGTGGAAGAATCGATGGGAATCGATGGGGAAGGAATGGGATTGCATTAAACAGGGTAGTTGGGTAATTTCTAGCACCCTTTAACAGCGAGAAAACAGAATTTTCAACGGAAGGGCAGGTCTGTTACGACGTAATAGTACAAGGGCATATTTGTGCAAAAAAATAGTACAGGGGCACGTTTGTTACATCGTCATAGTACAGGGGCTGAAAATGCTACTACCCCTTAATTATACATAGCTCAAAATCGAAACTATTTGACAACCTACACCAACCCCATTATGTTATTTGTAGTATGTTCATGAGCTGCTTAGTCAACACTTGTTTCAGTTTGTTGCTTTAGTTTGTTAATGTGTTTCTTAGTCGTCATAGTTTTATAGTTCAACACACAAAATACTAGGGATTTGGACTGTGATATAGAATTTGTGTTGGAATTGAGATTGTTAATGAGTTTAGAGCACTGTTAACTATTTGATATTTGGGATTTTGATATTTTCTATTGAAATATCAATACTTACGAACTTTCCCCCATAAGTAAACCTTAATTGAGGTGATATTGTTACAAAGATTGAAAGTTTGGATGCTCATCTTTGCTATCATATCGAACCCCTTCAATTTAATAGCAACAATTAAAATTTGATTTAGAGGGAGTTAATTTAATTCCGATATGATGCGCAAATTTATTTGAAAAAATGTTTGGTTGAGGATTG